GTCATACATTTCCATTTTTGGAGAGGATATAGGATCTACACAGCCAATAAAAAGTTCAGCGACTAAGTGACTTGCACCATATGTATTCTTTGACCATTTTCTTCATGAAAATCAGAGGGAAATCCGTAAATATATTCTACAGGATCTTTCTTAAATGCAGGCATGGAATAGTTGATGTAAAGAAATTTGTTTGCACAGCCCCATTAATGTATGATTTTGTCACACGACAGATTTTCCCGATTAGATTAATATTAATATTAACTACCAATTTACCTGTAAAAGAAATGCCATGGCCACTCCCACTACAATAACAGAAAAAGATGTTCTCTCACTACCTGACGAAATTAAAAAGATGACGAGGAGTGAACTTATGGAATTTTTACAAAGACATAAAAAGCTAGATCTTGATGAGGAGGAACTTAGAATATTTGAAAAACAAAAGGTTTCTGGTGAAGACTTTCTCCTTCTGACTGAAAAAGTTCTTCTTGGAGCATTTCCAATAGGACCAGCCGTAAGAATTGCAAAATTTATCAATGAACTCAAAAAACGTAAGTGTATTTTAAATTCTGGGTGCAGATCTTCACAGATATATAAATTTTACTAAAGGGTTCATGTAGCTAGATCTACCGGGCTTGTACATGTGTTTGTTGACAATTCCAACATCTTTATTGAGGGAAAATTTAATATTGGCCAACTTGAGTATATTTTTGACACTGAAAAAAATTTGTACCATATTAATCAGCTTCATATTGAATACGGACAACTTCTTGCATTAGTTCAAGATGGATGTGGCCTTGGTGGTGCACCTGTTCTCGTTGGTTCTCGTCCGCCCCCGAATGACTCGCTATGGAAACACATTCAAAAACAAGGATATGAGGTAACAGTGTATAATCAGAATGCTGAAAACCGTGAGAAGAAGGTTGATATGGAAATTGGTGCCTCCATAATGGATACCATTCAAAATTATAATCCTGGTATATTAGTGCTAATTGCTGGTGATGGCGACTATGTTCCAGTAATAAATCGAGGTTTGAATAAAGGGTGGGCAGTCGAGATATGGTTCTGGAGTTCTGGTATGGAAATATTGTTGTGTTTGAAGTCACATAGTTGTCCAAGTGCATACTCAAAATAACTTGCCTTTAGGAATTTCTAATGATCTTAAATCAAAAGTGCTTTTCAAACCTTTGGATAATTGTTATAAGTATTTCTCATGTGGCTACGGACCTGAACCTACTGGGAAAAAACAAGTTCTTGAAATCACTGATGGTGATATGATTCAGGATTGGAGGGACAAAGAGGTGATGGAGTGTTTTACAGCTTTGAACTTATTCTGTTGGTGTAACTGGTTAGATGAAACCTTGTGTTTATATTTTGATAATCAGGGGCAGTTGGAGAGGGCAAAGCATTGGATGGAGGTTAACTATCCTAACATACGTGTTTGGGAGAAAAAAGAAATAAAAAGAAGAAGTTGGGCATATTAGGCTTTATAATTCCAGCTGTAAAACAATTAGTTGGGAATGTTGTCACAATATAAATTTTTGCATGTATTCTCTTCATGTGCAGTTCTAATATTTACACATGATGTCATTGCTTTATTAATAAATAAAAATATATACTCCACAGGGCAAATTACATTAAGTACATAATGATATTTTTTTACATGTGTTGGGATTGTTGTGGGATTTCACTATATAATAAAATTAATTATTCCTGAAAATTATATATAAAAAATCAACAATTATTATTAAAATAAATATAGGGTTTTATCATTGTCCTTATATTCATAGAACTGGTAAAGTTTGTGATCGAGGTAGCTATCGTCCAGAAGGGTGTAAACTTCATTGGAATTCTCCGACATGGATCCCTTGCAAAGAATGTGGTAAGCTGACTTATTCTACATATAGCATGTGTAAAAATCATGTGAGTATCAAAAAAGAGAGTATTATCATAAGCAAAAACAGGCTGAATTATGTGCAAATATTGATATGCTTGAGAATTGTGTACCGGACTTGCCAGGTTCTGGGCACGAACTATAGTTTAGGTTTATTACTTTTCCATCCATGGATGAGGCACTCTGCATCAAGATAAGTCTCAGTTTTTTGCTTTCATGCCAGACATGCTTGTAAATTCCATCATGAATCCTACATATTCCGGTATGAGAATTGGTTAGCTTGTTACAAATAGAGCACAATTTTTTGGGACGTGATCTGAAATGTCTAGAGCATCCTGTGCTATGCCAGCATCCTTTCCCACAGATCATTCCATCACTCTTGATATATTGGCAGGATAGACGATGTTACATATGAGGTAATTTTGATATTATTGTGTGTTAAACTTTCCTCTCTCATTTGTGGCAGTCATATTTCCTGAGATCTAGAGCATTGTGTACTCTGCGAAGCATTATCGAAGGGGCGGGTAATTAATTTCGAATTTGAAAGAATATATGGGACGCAGAAAATAGAAAGGGACCTAACAGCAAAATCTCGATTTTGAGTTAATAAATGTTTTTATATGTAATTATTCACACAGATTAATTTTAGCTTATGAACTATACCCACTTTGCTTAGTAAAATTTCGAGATATTTAAAGAAAGATAGCAAAACATATAAGAACCAAGAAATCGTAATTTTACTAAAATAAGCAATGATAGATGCAAATCTGAGTATTTAGTTGAAATAATGTAACACGAATTTATATAATGTATATATATATTACTGTTATTATAATAATAAATAAAATATATAGAAATTGACAAAACACTGTCCAATCAATTTTCGTTTTTTTATTTGTTAAAAAAATTAGTGCAACAAAAATAATTTAATTTCAAAAGAAATTATTGACATAAAATTCATTATAACTTTTTAAACAAGTAAAAGAATTGTTAGGTATATATACAGTGAACCCTCCCTAAGTGCACCCTCCCTAAATGCATGCACTATGTATACCCTCCATAAATGCACAGCCCATCTCATCCCCAAGCTTATAGAGAGCTTATAAAATCACCCTCCATAAATGCATGCTCACAAGAAATAGCACTATGTTCCTGAGGGGGGTGCACTTATAGAGGGTTCACTGTAGTTAGGTAGACAAATAAACAAACGATTAACTAAAGAATTAAAATAATTAATATTTCAGGCATTGCTTGTAAGGGTCCAACTTTAAAATTAATTATTTCTTCTTCTTTAATAATTTTGTTTTTGTATAATTTAATAAAAACAAATTAATTTTCTTTTTTGTTTATTTTTTTTGGTTGGAAATTAAACAGTAGGATTTAATTATCTATTTGGTTATCCAAGTGGTATAGAACTCAGAGGGTTTGTGTATTTGCTTTGGTATAAAGCAAATGTTTTGTTTGTTTTTCTTTACATTGGTTAACCAGTATAGTGTTAACAACAGGTTTTTACATTGGGTAACCAGTATAGTATTATAATTAACAATGGATTTTTGGTTTTTTATGTTGGGTAACCAGTGTAACATTAAAAAGTTATAATTTTTGGGTTTTGGTTAAACATAAACATTCTTGTTTTAGTTTAATTGTTTAAGTGTGTAAATGTAAGATGTTGGCAAAGTATTAAGAGTTGACAGTTATTACTGATCAACCACCTATACAAAGGGCTAACAGTTATTAACCATATTCATTATCACCATTGTCATTCATTGCAAATGTATGGCTGACTTCAATTGACCAAAGAGAAGTAAAAGTAAACAAAATAGAAACCTTTGTTGCTTCATAGAAGGGCTGTCTTTATTGTAATTAATTGCTATTTGTACCATAACATGCGCTTACAGATTCGCCAAAGCTTTCTAGGTACAAGAAAGAGGCAGTAAGTAAGACAATTGTAAATAAATTCATAAAATAAATTAATTGATGAGCAGTTTATATTGTTACCGGAATTAGATTTGGAGGCTCTGTTGGCCGAAATTAACTAATTCCGCAATTCTTAATTTTTATTATTATTTTATTTTAGTTATTTCTATTTTTATTAATATTAATTTAGTATTATTTTATCTGTATTACATCTATTTTCGTAATATGTTTTATTTTTTATTTTTATTTCTATAATGTCATAATTTATTTAACTTTATTAAGGAAGAATCATCTTCCAATATTTCAATTTTGAAATATTGGTGCAATTTTGAAATATTATTACAATATTGGAATAACTTTTCAATATTGAACAGAAATTTCAATTTGAAATATTAGAATTACTAATTAATTAAATTGTATATAAGGAGCTTGAATTCAATGTACTTGAAAAGTAACTTTCTGATAAGTTAATTAGTTTTGACTAAGAAAAACTAAATAATAAAATAATAAATATTTTATTTGATTTAAAACTTTTATCTTCTTTAAACAAAATTATTTACTAATCCAAAATCAATTCGTTGATAACCTATTCATTCTGATCCACACATAAACAAAAATAATTGTTATCACCCATTAAAACATGCTCTCCCAAATTTAATCAGTGACAATATAAAAGCTTGTAATTAATCAATGAGTGTAGCTAAAAGTTAACTCAAAGCTCAGCCATAAATGAAAAATAATCAAGGTTGACCAAAAGTTACCCTCACAGTATTACAGGCAATTTCATTGCTACTGCTATATATATATTAATGTTAATATTAATATTAATATTAATAATATACATTAATTATTTTGAAACATTATTGAATAATTATGTAAAAATAGAATAAATGTACAAACACACAAGATAATAACAATTTTGATTGCAACTCACTTTCAGGAAATCATGTTGTTGTTGTTTGCAAACTGACAAGCACTGTGTGCTGTATGAGGTAAAAAGGCTTTGTTGATATTTCTTCTAAACATTCACACTCTTTGATCATCAATAGGTTGACTCTAAAAGCATTTCTAGAAAGTGAATTAATCTTTACATCTTCCCATTTTGAGACGAGTCACTTGATAGAAAATAAATCAGGATGATATCATGGTGTGAATGAAATTTTTTTTTTTAACTAATAAAAATGAATAAAAAAATATTTTGCTTTTCTTGCTCACATATACACATATTTTTTTTAGTCCAATAATAATTTTAATTGTGTATGTTGTAAAATATTTATTTTGTTTTTTTCCAAAAAAAAAAAATAATAATTGCTTAGTGACAAGTCACATCTTCTATATATATGCACATCACTTACATTCATCGAAAGTATAAACGGGTAATTGATTTAATGGAACACCCCAATATAATAATTTCTTTGCATCATCCAATTTCTTTTGTTTCATTAATAATATACCTTTCTTGATTTCATTATCAGGGAATTTTTTTAGGTGATGAGTCAATTTAAAATAAGATAAGAATCTTATTAACCATTTGGTAGGATCATATTGGTAGAATTTAATCGCATTACGATAATCCATTGGGAATTCATGGTGGAAATTGTGATATCCTTCACCTAAAGTAAAAATGGCTGTCAAGAAATGATCACGTGGCGTACGTCGATCATCAAATGGTGCATCTCCCAAAAAATGGGCTAGTGAGTTGACGCAAAATGTTGCGTGATGTACAACAACTAAACGAAGAACTGCTGCAAAATAAAAGCCACCCTAACACAATATATATATAAATATAAATACATGATGATGTATAAAATTTCATTTTTTATTTTATTATACATACCCACCAATCGCCCCAGCCTAAGCCAGCAACCAAAGTAGGTAATAGGAAACCCATACCAAGAGCAAAATAGAGGAAGTTACGATGTTGAAATCTTAATAGTGGATCAGAATTGAGGTCAGAGATGTCGGCTTTGCCAATGGTATTGGGATTATTCTATTCCTAAATCTATTTTTTAATATTAATAAATAATAATTCTCTAAATATTAAAAACTAATAATGTAAATAAAGTACATTGTTTATAAATACATCATGATTGTGTGTGTATGAATAAAAATAACGAATATTTTCTATTTATTCTAAACAATCAAATTACAAGAAAATTCGTTACTTAAATAATAAATGTTTATTTATGATGATGGTTATTAATAAATTAAGCAAAAAAATGTGTGTTTTGCCTACTATCTTCATGCACTTGCATTTCTCCCATTTTAAATTCGTTTAATTCATCTTTTATTTGCTGTGCAAGTATTGGTGTTAACTGATTACAAGTTGACTGATCACCTCGTCGATCATAATCTTCAGGCGTCCAAGTATCATGAAATAATATTTTTGACGAGAATGAAAGTTTCTTAAAGGATGATGATAAAGGTGTATTAGGAAAATTATTAGTTGCATTATCATCATCTTCTTCTTCTTCCCCTCTTTCTTTCCCCTCCCCATCTCCATCATCATCATCGTCATCATCATCATCATAATCATTATCATCATCATTTATATTATCATTGATTGTGTAAAGTATTTTATTATCATTGTTGTTGCTATTATTTAATGTGACGTTGATTGTTGAGTCATTTGTGTTGTTAGTGTCGATATCTTTTTGTAAAGTATTTTCTTCTAAACCATTTTTTGAAGTTTCAACTCCACCACCACCTTTTTTTGGGGTATTTTTTTTGGTTCTCAAGTGCTTAATACGTGTTAACACTAAAACTAGTTGAGCAAAAGATTGCATAAAGGAGTTTTCTTTCTTCTTTTTACAAAAAAAATTTCTGGGAAAAAAAAATAAATACTAAATAAAAATTAAATAAATAAATTAGATATATAATTAATAATGAAATGGAATGAATGAGAAATAATTTATTAATATTTTTTTTTGCTCTAATGAGGATAAAATACTTGTTAATATGTCTTCACAAAAAAAAATTATGTAATAAAAAAACTATAATAAGGAAAATGAAATGAGTGAATAAATAATGATATTTATTTTGATATTGTTTGTTATAATTATCAAATATATATTTATATAATATTATAATCAATTATAAAAACATTTTTTGTTTTGAAAATAATAAACTTTTTTATTATTATTCTCTTAAGAGTTTAAATCTGAATACTTTTCTTTTCCAGATACGCAGGATCAAAAGTTAGTCTTCTACAACACAAACACAAAAATTTTTTATAAAGAAAATTTTTTTAAAAATGCATAATTAAAATTGAATTAATGTTAATGATGTTCTTATTTTTTAAAAATGAGTTACCTGCAGCGATCAGACGAATGAAATTTCTTTTTCGAGTAAATAATTCTGCAAATTATTTAACACTTTTTCCATTATTGTATACCTTTTTTTAAAAATTATTATAATTGATCGAGGCAAAATATCTTTTATATTATTTTAAATAAAAATAAATATTTTGAAAATGTTTGCAGAACTATTTTCTTTTTTTACAGGCAGTTCATCTAATAAAGGTACAACAGATGGACCCACTCCAAACATAACTCTTCCAACTCATCCATTTTATCCAACTAATCTCAAGGTAACAAATTAGCGAGATAAAATGAATTTTATTAACCTATTAAATCTATTGCACACACAATCTAATTTATTAAATATATATATTAGTTACCGACTTACATAGAATCAACATACACAACAACACAACTTTTATCAATATTTGTTGCATTAGTCATCACAGTTGTAACGGCCTCCTTGGTAATAATTAGAACAAAATCTAATGTATCAACTATAAATAAGTTGTTATTTGTTTGGTTTATCATATGTGGGTTTATTCATTTGTTCTTGGAAGGGTATTTCTCTTATTTCCATAAAGAAATTGTTGGTGATAATAGTTTAATGTCTCAGCTTTGGAAAGAGTATGCGTTATCCGATTCAAGATATTTGACATCTGATCCTTTTGTTGTTATTATGGAAGGAATTACTTCTGTAAGTTAAAAAAATAATTTTTTTTACAGAAAATTTAATTTTCTAAATAAATATTAACTCCTTTATTTATTATAGATGTTTTGGGGACCATTATCATTTTTAACATCAATAGCAATTTATAATAATTGGCCATCAAGATACATATTACAGCTGATAGTTTCGTTAGGTCAATTATATGGCGATGTTTTATATTATTTTACTACACTGATCATCGGGTCACCACATTCTAGACCTGAACCTATTTACTTCTGGGGCTATTTCTTTACAATTAATTTCATATGGATTATTATACCTGGATTCTGTCTTTATCAAAGTTTTGTACATTTAAATTTTGCATTAAAAGAGGACTTGAAAAGAAAAAGTAAAAAAGTCGATTAAAAAAAAATTTTTAGAAAATATATAATAATAATAATAATAAAATAACAATAACAATAACAACAACAACAACAACAACAATAATAATAAATAATATACTTTTTACTTTTTTATCATTACAAAATATTATTAATATAATAGAATGAAAAAAAAAATACATATATAAATATATAAATTATATATTACATAAAAAAAATAAAATGATATATTATTTACGTTATTCTCCCTCTTTCCATAGGAGAAAATAAATAATAACCTTTAATTAATTAAATTAATATTTTTCTAAATTGTTTAGTAAATAATTAAATTTGTCTATAATAATCATCATAATTAATCCCAATTAATTCCAAATAAACCCAATAATAATAATAAACCAAAAGGAATCAATTTCCAATAATAAGGATCCTTACTAGTTGCTTCACTAACATAAAAAAATGGAGCAGCAGTTGGTTCTACGATAGTCCTAGTACTACTACTACTAGATTTAGATTGTGGAGATGGTATATATGTAGGCTCGATTGTACCAACTATAATTGGTCCTGTTGTAGAAGAGGTGATGGTACCTGATACGGGTGGTATATTTAGGACTGGGATGGGAACACCTGAAGTAAAACTTATTGACAATGTGAATTTGGTTTCCATGCTAGTTGGATTTGTTATTCCCAGACATAATATTTCTTTGGTGAGAAGTAATGTTTTTAGTTCTTGTCGACATCTTTGTACTGGTGCATCGAAACATGATACAGATTTGTAGAAATTTAGTGGTGGTCCGGAAGGATCTATGTATAACTGCATGCCAGTGAAGTTTGATACAATTGTTACCATGCCATATGTGTCAAATTTTCTTTGTTGACCTAATACTACTTGACCAAAATGTCCATCTGGTGGTTGTGTGGTATTAACTAATTGCACATCATATCCTATATATACATATACAATAAATATTATTTAACGCTTTTGATAAAAAAATATTATTGCATACGAAGCAGGGCTGAGCGCGTAACTTGACTAAACCATTAGTCATGTGTTAATGTTAACCATTAGCCAACTTCAACCGTCACTAAATTAAGGGGGTCATCCCTTCACGTCAGCAGCCCTGATACGAAGCAATGTATAATAATTATTATTTCATACTAAAATATTTATTTATTATTATTATTATTATTACCTATGTAATTAGTTTCATATGTACTACACAAAAACCAGGTAAATAGTGATGGTATAGAGCCAATGCCTGTATGAGTTTCTTGTGAGTAACAACATCGTATGATCTAAATAAAATAGAGAAAAAACATTCAACGTTTGTCTCATTTTCCTTTTTTTTAACTATATAATTAAACACACTTTCTTATACTTACATTTGAGATGATAATTATTGTGGCGATGAAATAGAATTTAAATTTAACCATTTTAAAACAAGAATTTAAAAAGACATGGAAAGATGAAAAAGACTAAATAACTAAATATAGAAATCCGTGTAAAATTCTAAAACCAAACTAAAAAAGTATTTATGGAAAATGAAATTTTTTGTAAGTTAAACAAACATCATAATAATATTGACACGAACGATGATGAATATTCAAGTGTAAGAAGAAAAAATATCCAACTTCTAATAGATATAATACTAATTGGGCATGGCGTCAATCATGTAATCCAAAGCTATTAAGACCAATGATAATGAAAATTGAAATTATAGATAAAGATTGTTATATTCTTTGCTTTTAATCAACACATTACCTTCAATGAATTCTTTATGGTGGGCGATGAAAAATTTCGAAAGATAGGCGAAGATGGTTTTGCAACTATACAAAACCTATAGATGGCAATAAAAGATCTAGTAAAGACAGTTGTAACATTAAAAAATTTCAGCAAGTATTTCTGATGAATTTATTAATAGGATAAATTATTTTTTTTTCAAATATTAATTTTTTAAATACTATTATTAAATCGTTGTTGATATTACTTTTTTTTTTATTGTTAGACTTTATGATATAATTAAAGCTTATGAATTAACACAAGACCTAATCACAAAATGAAGATATATTTATAATGAAATATATAAAAGATGGTCAAAATGGGCAAAATTCTTTATCAAATCAGTAAAGGTTTAAAAGACATTAACGAACAAAAAACCATTCATCATGACTTTCATAATTGTAATATTCTTCATCATATACTGCGGATTCAGGATTATAATGTCCAGCTAATCACATCAAAGATATTATTATTGAATGCTGGAGGGTTTCGTTTAATGACAGAATAATAAATTTAACTGACCATCATTATAAATATTCCCGCATTGATGAGTTGAGATCAATCAGAGAAGAATTTGATTGAATTTACATTTGATCCTTCAGCGTTTACCGCAATCAATCAATCATCAAATGCTGTTTATATTGGTAGATTATTGGATATTTACAAATTTTTCTCGACCCAAATAAAGTAACAATCATTATTATTTAGCGATGCATCTTGTTAAGCCAACTTGCTTAGCTCAGATGGCTTAGCCGGCTAATAAATGTATTATTCCTTTTTTTTTTGTTTTCTATATGTTAATATAAAAGCCCCTTATTAATTAGTATGAAAAGAAAAAACCCGTAGTAAATTAATTAAAAGATAAAGAAAATAATAATGAAACCAGGAAGATGTTGAATAACAACAATAATATTGATAATAAACCTTTAGATAATAACAACAACAGTAATAGTACTGGTAATTTATCAGTGATAATAATAACAATAATAATAATAGTGAGCCATTAGGCAGTGGTAATAACGAAAATAATTAATAATCATGGTGAACCTTTTGATAATGAAGATGGATAATAATACCTGATCTAAACAATTACTAATTTAATAGTTGAAAATTTATCCAAGTTTAAAAAATTTGATCGGCTTAGTCGGCTGAGACAAATCTCGTGAGTGAATTCCACAATTATTCATGATAATCACGTCAAAATTGGTTTAGACGCTAGATGAATCAATTAGACTAAAATAATAATAATCATACTGAGTTTTGTTTCACTTGTTCATGTGACATAATCAAATACCATAAAATTTGTCATCATTTTTATCAATCAATTCATTCAAAATAAAAATAAAGTAATTCCTTAATATAGTAGTAACACCTAAAGATTATACCAAATAAGTTGAACATCTTTCAGATTTTCTTGCTTGTGGCTTGCCTTAAGAAAAAGTATCCCAATACTTCTTGTATTCAGCCTATAAAGCAACATTGACTCATAACAAAGCATTTGTGCATCGCGCAGTGTCTAGTTGCAATAAAGGTGACGGGCGGTAACATTCATTCAAATTTTTTTTAGTTAGTTTGAAGGAGAAAAAATTTAGGAAATGTTGCATTAATAAATAGCATTGTGGTTTAAAAGTATTTAAAGTGGAAGGGGTGACTAGACATTTATTAATCTAAAAGAGAAGAAAAATCTATCGCAGTGAATGGATTTACGGTGTATTTATACATTCATTATTATTATTGACTAAAAAAATTCAAATTGACTGGGGGCGATATTTTTAACTGGATATTCCAAGGCAGGATTTTATTTTACATATTAATATTATATTACCACTTGTAAAAATGCTATTTTTAAATTCGCCACATTTATAAAAAAAATTTTTTACGAGTGATTGTGGTAAAGTCCTTGTAACACTCATTACTCTTTAGTATTATTGTTATTATTAATTTGAATTGTGCAAAAAAGTAAAGCAAAAAAATATACGGGAAGAATATAAACATCGCTGGAGTCTATCGTTTAGAGAAAGGATCATCGTTATTATGGAAATAAATTTTAGCAGCTTTGATGATAGATTTGCATTGCACAACACCGTACTATAATTAATTGATAGATTGTATGAATATCTGTGTTATTGGAAACATTAGTAATAATAGTAATAATAAATGGCAACATTTGAAGATAAAGTTAATTTTTCTAATAAAAACTTTTTTATTTTACTAAAATTAGTAATTGAGGTTTGTTTATATTTTTTCAAGTTAAAAATAAAATATATTTATTTATATTATTATTATTATGGTAAAATCAATTTTCATTAATTAATAGGCTAGCTAAAAATGAGCTTATGAGATCTTTTTATCGTGGATAATGTTAACGCGTAAAACATTTATTTACTTCCTGTAACGAACTTTCAAAAGATGATTGTTGCCATTGTTAATATATAATATATATATTTAAAAAAAAAAGAATTAAATCACACTTTGTGCTAAAAGTTACACAAAATTTCGTAAAATTTTATCATTTCGTTTTAACAAATGTATTACCTCCAATAATTAATGTTAAGAAACAATTAATACTTCACATATTAATGTTTGGACAATAACCGAAAAGTAGTAAAAAAGTAATTTATATGATAAATTTTTTCTATTATCATCCAAAAATATTAATAATTAAAAAATTCAATTTTTATTTTTATTTTATTTCGTTCTCTTTATTTTCCTTTTCCTTTTCCTTTAAAAACGTCAATCTCCAAATAGCCCATATACACCCGCATCATTATAATATTTATTTAAATAATATATATCTATCTGCTATGATACTATTTTTTCATTCTTTTTTCATTTATTTTTTTAATTTAATTCATTTAAAAAAATTTTTATTTTAAATAAACGCACATATATTTAAATATATTTATTTATTTATTCGAAATATAGATTCATTATAGCATATATTATTATATTATATATAAAGGAAAATTTTTTATAAAAATAAAAATTTAACTTTTCCCTATAAAGACAATTAATCATGTACAGTTTTAGAATAATAATAATAATATTTTTAATAATATCATCCAACTTTAATATAATTACACAATTACTATCTTCATTTATAATAACAATAATATCATCATCATCATCATCATCATCAATAACATTAACATTATCATCAAGGTCGCCAATAATATTACACTCACAATCTTCATTATTATCATCAAGAATACTATTAATTAATGCATTACCATCATCACCGCCAAGCATAAATATATTAACTT